GGATCAAGCCCCACATGGGTCTCCCTGCTCAGTGGGGAGCCTGCTTTTCCCTCTCCCTCTGCAGCTCCCCTTGCTTGTGCTCTGTCAAATAAATAAAATCTTAAACAAACAAAAGCATAGGCAGCTCATGTTAATGTGCTGCTTAAAGTTCTAAGGAACTGTAAAAAAATTTTACATGAAAGAAATTTCTCATGGCTTCCTGTTTTTATGGTGCTTCTTTACCATTTATAACTTGCTTTCACACTCCTTTTCTCATTTGATCTACACAACTACCCCAGGCAGGAGGCTGAAGAGGGGGTGCACTGTTACACAGGAGACAAATTTCCATTTTAGATAAGAACACTCACTGTGTGCCAAGGTGAGGACAGGGGCTGTGGAGAATCATGAAAGCTAAATCCCTGTCTATATTCCCAGCCTGAGTACAAAGTCTGAAACTCACTAGGTGTTCAAGAATTGGTTGCTGAATCACTTACCCAGGGGTTCCCAGCTGAAGGAATAGAGTTAGGACTAATATTCAAGCTTCCTGATGCCTAGGCGGATATTCTTTCTAATACATTACTTATTTTTCTACATTAGATAAAAAATATAGTACTTAAATTGTAAATGTTAATTGACTCAATTTCAACACAGGTCAATCACTATTGACTGCTGGTAATTATTGAGACTATGTTCTTTTTTTAAGATTTTATTTGTCAGAGAGAGAGAGCACAAGCGGGGGGAGTGGTAGGCAGAAGGAGAAGCAGGCTCCCTGCTGAACAAGGAGCCTGATGTGGGACTCGATCCCAGGACCTTGGGATCACGACCTGAGCCGAAGGTAGATGGTTAACCAATGGAGTCACCCAGGTGTCCCACGACTCTGTTCTTAAACTATCTGATGACTGGGAAGTTGAACCTTTTAGAGTTTCCATTCTCATAGTTATGACTAATTTTCTATGGAGGAATAAAAATTCCCTCAAATGAAACTTTACTCATAAAAAATGCCAGAGAATGTGAAAAACATACACAAGAAAAAAGCAAAATGTTAACTGCAGTATCAATTTGTCTATTTTACTTTAAAATTCTCAAAAACCACTAAGCCATTCTATTTTTAGGAAGATACATCCTTTTTGAAGTGCTAGTAACTATGACAACTACTTATTTTTAACTTAAAAAAGTCTTAAATGACAAGTATGTGTATTTGTAGATAAATGGACACAGTGCAAGGTCAGAAGGGTGACTGATCTGACAGTGGTAGAAAGGCCAGCAACTGGAGATGGTTAAATTATAATTAGTCCAGACAATGGGTTCTAACGTGGCCATTAAAATAATGCCTACGATAACCTGGTAACATAGGGAGAAGCTTAAGATACAGTGTTCAAGAGAGGGGGAAAAAAAGGCAGTGTAAAAAAAGTGTATCTAAAGCATGGTCTCTATCACGTGGACACTTCTGGTTAAAACAGTCTTGATGAAACAGACCATGTCACTGACTCCCCATCCACACCCTCTTCTTGGATATCTGGTCCCTCCTAGAGTCTTTGAAAAGGGCAGCCCTATAAAATCAGGGACAACTTGAGGCGCCTAGGTGGCTCAGTTGGTTAAGCGGCTGTCTTCGGCTCAGGTCATGATCCCAGGGTCCTGGGACTGAGCCCCACGTCGGGCTCCCTGCTCAGCGGGGAGCCTGCTTCTTCCTCTCCCTCTGCCTGCCTCTCTGCCTACTTGTGCTCTCTCTCTCTGTCAAATAAATAAATAAAATCTTAAAAAAAAAAAAAAATCAGGGACAACTAGACAGCTCACGCTCCCAAGCTAGGCTGCTCAGATTCTCTCTTCTGCTAATTTAAAATGACATAATGAATGTGTTTGGTAGACAGACGAGCATCTAGATGGAAAGGTCAAGCAATGCTGGGGCCAGAGGCACTGCCATGGCAAGCCAAAGTCCCAGGGGGCTGGAGAAGGCTTGAGTACGTGTCCAAATGTCCATCTGCAGAGAGGAGCATGAGAATGAAGCAGATTTCCAGAAAGAAGGCATGCAGGAGAGAGAAAAAAACAAAACTTCCCAGTCCAATCCCTACATTGGCCATTTTCTGAGTTCTGTACTAGATATCTGTGAGACCGCCTATTGTGTTCTTAAGACAAATCCCTATTAAATTACATCTGATCCTTGAACAATGTGAGGGGTAGGGGCAATAACCCTCCACAAAGCCGAAAATCTGCATGTAACTTTTGACTCCCCCAAAACCTAACTAGTCATAGTCTACTAGTGACCGATAAGCCTTACTGATAACATAAACAGTCAATGAACAAATATTTTGTATGTTATATGTATTATATACCATATTTTTACAATAAACCTAGAAAATATTAAGAAAATCATAAGGAAGAGAAAATGCATTTACAGTGCTATGCTGTATTTATTGTAAAGAATCCATGTGTAAGTGGACCAGCACAGTTCAAAGCCCTGTTGTTCAAGCATCAACTGTACTCTGAAAAAGGTAAATGTATGGCTTGACCTTGAAATATATGTTCTACCTCCAGTCAGCAATGAACTCTGGGAGAATATCAAACAGGATGAGGAGAATGAGAGAAGATATGCCTCCAATTGAGGAATAAGATGAGAAGCATGAACATAGGTTTTAAAAACACTGGATTTGGGGGCGCCTGGGTGGCTCAGTCGGTTAAGCATCTGACTCTTGATTTTGGCTCAGATTGTGATTGCACAGTTGAGGGATTGAGCCCCACGTTAGGCTCTGCGCTCTGTGCTCAGTGTGGAGTCTGCTTGAGATTCTCTCCCTCTGTCTCTCGTGTGTGTGTGTGTGTGTGTGTGTGTATCTTAAACGAAATCTTAAAAAAAAACCCACTGTATTTGGGTTTCTGGACAAAACCTGTTTCTTAAAAAGATTAGACATTATGTATTACTGACTCAAAATCATAACCAGGTGCTTCTAATAAGTGGACAATTATATATAGCTTCAAAAACCAATCTCGGGTTTATACAAGTTAATTCTACTGGATGTTTAAAGGTGCTGGGCTGGCAGTGTGTAAGACTTTACTTCTAGCTGTAGCAGCAGCACACTTAGAAGCAGAAGCAAATGATAACTGGAGTTTCTAGTTTACATATATTTAATTTTACATATGTTTATGTTTGTACCCATATAATGATTTCAATTAGGAAGGCCTCTTAACTTCTTCGATTTCCAGGAAAAAACTGAATACCTGACAACCTTCATGAAGATGCCAAGATTCAGTTATGTGAAGTGTTCTTCCTTGACTCTGAGGAGATCCTGTAAAAGGGCGCAGAGCCATGCATCCTTCCGAAATCAAGGCAAAAGCCTGGGTACTTTGCAAAGAATTCCATATTTTACTCCAAGAAAACACTGAGCAACAAGCTTTTATTCCCCATAGTGGCAGTGAAGACTCTAGAATTTTCTTTGTCAAGTTTTCACTTTATTATTATTTTTTTTAAAGGTTTTTATTTATTTGAGAGAGAGAGAGAGAGCATGAGAGAGGGGAGGGTCAGAGGGAGAAGCAGACTCCCCTCGAGGAGCAGGAAGCCTGATGTGGGACTCGATCCCAGGACTCCAGTATCATGACCTGAGCTGAAGGCAGTCGCCTAACCAACTGAGCCACCCAGGGGCCCCAAGTTTTCACTTTAAAGAAAGTGACGACCAACAAGACATTCTGATCCCTTCAGAAATTCAGAACTCAAGGCAAAAGCGGAAACCTTTTTGCTATAAATTATCACTGCTGTAAAGAACATACTTACAAACTCCTGAGGTGCCACAGGAACAAATCACAAAACCAACTACAAATCTAAGTCAAGCAGAACCTCAGATAGGGAGGTAGACATAGTATTATAGAAGATGTTGTATGAAACCATTCCCGCAAAAGGAACTTCAAATATTAAATGAGGACAATACACAGAATCACCAACACAGAAGTGGAAGCGTTACCCACTGAAAGCTCCCCACTGGGCCATTAGATAAGAGCAGGGCCAGTACCAATGCTCGCTCTATAGGTAGGCAATGAGAAAGGGGCAAGACATTGGGTCGGCAGTAGGCTCACTCAACTGTGAGGGCATACCGAGCAGAGCAAAGGAGTCCATTTAGCGGCTGAAGTACTCCCACTTTGTTAACATGAAAGATCCGACATCATGTTAACCTCCCCCCTTTCCTCTAGACAGCCATACGTCCATAAACATCGTTCTATGAGCAAACTGCCCTTTTTTCTCCAACAGAAATCTTGCCTTTTCTCTTTGCCTCATCCATCTTTAGGTAAGGACTTCTTCCCTCACCAAACCTAGCCTCCACTGTGCCCTCACCTGTCTGACAATGCTCTGGATTAATTTGTCCATGGTGAAGGCAATGTAGGCGTGAATGGTGAACATCTCTCTTAGTGAATCTTCGTACTGCGACGAGTCTATGTTGCCATCCAGCAGGCTCCGCACCATATCCAGGAAAGCTGGGTAATAATCTTCTACGTCAACATCCACTGTGGGAGAGATGGGAGAGGTGAGGCCTTACCTTGCTACGAAAAGGTCAGGAGAGAGGGCAGGGCGAAACCCCACAGTTGGCCTAAAGAGCCTCTGATGAAAGAACCCTAGGTATTCAAACATACGCACTCAATCAGCCGTAGCCAGAGGTGACATCTGACAGGTGGCTACAATGGCCAGTGCTATCAGGGGACAGGGACCCTGCAACTTTAACGGGGGCTCCAACACTCTGTCCATGCCAGAAAGACACTTCCATTACACTAGAGCTGCCTGACAGGAGAGCAGAATATCCCAGGGAAGAAGTTTCTTCAAAAAGTTGTTGGCTCTCCTGCTGAGAGAGGAACCTGCCCTCCCAGCCTGCAGAGAGCATTCCTCACATGGGTCACTTGCTCATAAAGCTATTTCAATGAAGCATAAAGTGCAGATGAGAAAAGGCAGACAGCACCACACTCGAGCCCTGGGAAACCTCTCAGGAACAGAAAAATAGGAGTGCAAATTAAATCCCCTATGAATAATGAAGTAATCTGCATTTGTCAAAGTCCTTCTGTTTAAAAATGGATTCCCAACGTTGTACTTCACAAATTGCATTAAATGATCTGTACTTCCTGCACATGAATCACTTCAACCAGCAGCTAGAATCTTTTCAGTTGTTACAGAGACATTCATTTGGCAACTAGCAGAGTGCAAAAGGAAGCATGAAAGGACTCTGCCTTTAACTTACGTAAGACCTATTTACTGATATCCAGTGCTGGCAATCAAGACGGTGGCATGAGGGGGTCACTGGGGTATTGGTTATACTGTTTCTTTTCTTTTTTAAATTAACATATTTGTTTCAGGGGTACAGGTCTGTGATTCATCAGTCTTACACAATTCACAGCGCTCACCATAGCACATACCCTCCCCAATGTCCATTACCCAGCCACCTCATCCCTCCCACCCGTCTCCATTCCAGCAACCCTCAGTTTGTTTCCTGAGATTAAGAGTCTCTTATGGTTTGTCTCCCCCTCTGGTTTCGTCTTCATTTTTCCCTCCCTTTCCCTATGATCCTCTGCCTTGTTTCTCGAATTCCACATATCAGTGAGATCATATGGTAACTGTCTTTCTTTGATTGACTTATTTTGCTTAGCATAATACCGACGTGGATGGAACTAGAGGTTATACTGTTCCTTGATCCAGGTGCTGGTTACACAGGTGTGCTCACTTCGTAAAAATTCACTGAGCTACACAATTTGGATTTGTATATTTTTCTATACGTATGTTGCACCTTGATAAAAAGTTCACTAAACTGAAAAAAAAAAAAAAAATTACAAGAACTCTTTTGTCCCTGACATCTGGTTACCCGTTTGTAAAGTCTATACAAGAGAAAACAGACTGAGGAGCAAAAGCTAAGTCCATCTCCGTTTATCTGAAGTGTGATGGGCTCATCAAAGACATGCAAAACAGAGAATACAGTTTAAAAGAAACTGGCTTAACTTTCACCACAGAATATCTCCTTGTTCAGACCCACAGCACAGGCATGGGCTGTGCTACTGCTAGGCAGATGGTCTTACACCAGAATAACGCTAGGAGCCCAAGTCAGACTTGTGCCCACGAGTTATGATCAGTGCGAGACTTGGCGTTACCGCTCAAGACCCAACAACGTAAGCCTCAAACCAGGTTAAGTCAGTGATCAAGCCAGGATTAGACCATTTGCTCTCTCATTTCTACCCAAGCAGATGGAATCACCGCTCTGAGATCCAAAAGTTGTCTCTCTCAAGCTAGGATTATTGAGATAAAGGCTTTTAACATTAATATCCAGTGTCATTAGCTCTTCAACAGATAGAGAGTTAGGGTCACACATGGGCTTCTTACATCAACAACAGTTTAGAAATTTTTTTTTAAAGATAATTCACTCCACAGATTGGCTATTTCTTCAAGGGCACAGAAGAAAGGCTCCACGAAAAAGTTTTTGGTTCACAGCTCAAAAACCTAACTTATGAACGGAATAGTTCTCTAGAAGCCGGTAACAGAGAATTACTTAAAGCACATGGTGGCTTCCTCAGCCCACATTTATTTTCGTTTTCCTGTGTTCTCTATCTTCATTTCTGTTCTGAGGTCTGCTGTCTCACACCATCTCTCGACTTCCAATCTCCTTTCCATAAACTATTTCTATTTATTAAGGAATGAACCATGAACCTCACTGGCTAAGAAGTCCTGCCCAAACATATCTGAGAAAATTCGCATCTGTCTTAGGCATGAACAACTAGGAATTTGTGTTTCGTCATGGAGCAGAATGGACTGTGACATTTTAGTCCCACTCTGTCCTTTAACGTGCTCTGCAATTTGGGAAACTGATGGCAACTGATACCCACTACCCAGGTGTCCACAGCAGCAGCCACTGAATGTCCATGATCCTAGCACTGCACAGGGTGCTTTGCATACTTTCCCCAATCGTCCCAACAACCCCACAAAGAATTAAGGAGCACCTCCATTTCATAGGTACACAGGTTTGGGAGCTGAAGTAAGGTCACACAACCAGTCAATTCCAGAGCTAGGATCTGAACCCTGGTCAGGCTCTAAGGCCTGCCTGCCTGTGCTCTACGCATAAAAGAAAGCAGTCTTGAGTCTAATTCGGCTCTGAGGCCCCCCAACCCCTCACATCATCCAGACACCAACAGTCTAAGCACTCACTAGGTTCTTTGAGACGTAGCTGGATGGCAGGGCTGTCGCTCTTGTCTCGTTTTATGCCCAGCACTTCCCGTTCCCACTCTCTCTCTCGGTTTTCTTCTTCAATTTGCCGTTCAGCTTGGGAACAAATCCGCAGCAGCCGCAAGCAGAGAATCTGGTGCAGTCGCATGAAGATATACCAGTTGTTATTAACATAGAAGAGGTTGTATACTTCATCCATCCCTCTTAATTTCTGAGCTGCTGTGTTACTAAACAGTAGCTTGGACTTAGGGGGACTGCCCCCAACACCATTGTGCTTCTTAGCTGCCCCTGTGGCTTCATCTACATCCATCTCTTCTTCTTCCTCTTCCTCCACATCTGAGAGATCACCTCTCTGAGCAAAGAGCAGATCTGGAATGAAATGATGCATGATCTGCTTGATTTTATACTTGTCCTCCTTCTGAATGCCGGTCTGCCTTTTCACGTGGTGGATAATCAAAGCAGCGGCATCTTCCAGGATCTGTTTGTCTTCGTAGGCAAGTGAGAGGTGCGGGCCAACAGGTACACCGGCATTATCTTCTGTAGCCTGCTCTTGCCTCTAACAGGAGAGAGACGCAAAGTATTATGTGACATGTGTCCAGCAACAACAAAAAGACCTACGAGACCGCGCTAGCAGTACTGTCTTCCAACCCACAACTTGCAGAAACAGAATTAGATAATGCAGGAGGTATGGTCTGACACCAACATACTGGTATCTTCTAGACTGTGAAGACCTACTGGGGACAATGGGACAAAACTGGGACCATCTTTCAAAATTCTGTATTAGTATTTATGGATATGGAGGATACCACATGAGGTCTAGGATTTGAGGTCTCCAATCTGGGGGGGGGGTATGGGGAAGGTGACAGATGTAATAAAACTGGCAAAACAGGGATGCTTATTTAAGTTTATGTAAGAGCTCATTTTACCACTCTCACCCCTTCCGTCTATGTTTGACATTTTCATGATAAAACGCTTCTAAAAATTCAAGATCATATAACTTTTAGGAATTCTCAATCATACTGTATTTATGTCTCTATCCACTCCCCATGACTGTGAGCCCCAAGAGAACAGGATCAATTTCTTAATCATCACTGTATCCTGCCTTCCAGTACTATATACACTCCTGGTAAGTATGCTGAATAAACATGGATTAGAAAGTGTCTGGGGATTAATGATAAGTGTTTCAGTTGTGGGAAGTTCAGAGGGGCTACGTGAATGAAGACGAGGTACCGTTTTGAGGGAAACAGACGGAAAGACAAGTGGAAGAGGGAGGCAGCAGGCACAGACAAAGCCAGGATGGTAAACTGGGAAACCAGTAAAGCAGCTCAGGAATAAAGGTGAGGCTTAGATTTAAAATGGCAGAATCAGGAATAGAAGTCTATGGCAGTTTTGAAGCAAGAACCAACATGTCTCAGAAGGTCTTGCTTTCATATACCAAAGATGATTTCCAGGAATCAAAGCAGCGCTGAACATAAAGCCTGGGGTCCTCTCACAAATATAAAAACGTCCAGCTCACCTCATCATAGATACTCTCAATCTCGTTGAGTAAGCTCTTTGACCTCAGGACCTTGGTGTCATTCTGTTTAAAGTTGATGCCCTGGTGGTCCAGAGACTTCAGGTAGTATTTCTCATTTTGCTCTCTCCACACCTTGTTAAAGCCTCTCTGAGCTTCTCGCCATTCTTCCTCTTTCATCTTCAACCTGGGGGTGGGGGGGCGCGCGGGGAAGGGGGAAGTAGAAACAAGACATGGGAATTCAGATGTGGGAATTTTAAGGGAGGGAGTTAAACTCCTTGGGTTTGAATCCTGGCTCTGCCATATGAGACGGTTTCCTTATCAGGAAAATAGGGATAACAGCACCTACTCTCTAAGGGTTTTTTATTTTATTTTTTAAAAGATAGATAGATAGATAGATAGATAGATAGATAGAAAGAAATATTTGAATGTTTAATAGCCTAGTTCCACATCCAGTAATAATAAGATCTATCTATCTATCTATCTATCTATCTATCCGAGAGAGAGTGAGTGAGAGACAAAGCACCAGCAGGGAGACGGGGAGGGGCAGAGGCACAGGGAGCAGCAGACTCTCCACTGAGCAGGGAGCACAACGTGGGGCTCGAACCCAGGACCCATGTCTTGGGATCATGACCTGAGCCGAAGGCAGATGCTTAACCAACTGAGCCACCCAGGCGCCCCTCTCTCAGGGTTTAGAAGTGAGAAATATGTCAGACTTACTTTATTTCACATGTCAAAAGATACAATAGGTCAAAATTATTGGCAACTTGGGATACTGTTATTCAAATTGTTATACTGTTATTCAATCCAGGCTTGAACTCTTGTTACATGACGAAATTACTCATCCAGGACTTATTTTGGGGAGGTAATTTGTCCCAAAGTCAGAAATCTTACCTAGAATAGTTATTTCTCAACAGCATTCCACAGAATACCCCTGAAAAGGGGGTTCACTTCCTTGACCAGCTAAAAAAAGCACATCTCTTTGCTGCAGGACTTCTAAGAACATTCACTACGCTAATGTAAATGCAGAAGTCTGAGAGCAGAGAACTCGCACAGTAATGCTCCTTTGAACACACAGTTTGGGAATTTCTGATGGCACAGCCGATCGAGGAGAGTAAAATCAAGCACTAGAACTGAAGAGTATCCTACATCTCAAAGCCAAAAGTTAAATGCTGCCAGCATGGCAAGAAGAGGGACAGCCTGTGCCAGCTCTTGAGCGAATGACTAGGGAGGAACAAGAAAAGCCGGGCATCCGTGAGCTGTGCAGCAGACAAGAGTTCCTTCACACCACCATTGCAGGGGATACTGAGAGAGGACCCAGCTGTTAGCTGGGATTCACAGCAAAGTGCCATGGACTTGAAGGAGCCTGGGGCTCAGCTGTAGCTCTGGCCTCCTTGATGCCTGGTCTTGGGTGGGTACAACAGCCCCTCTACACCTCAGGCTGAAGGCTTGTCAGGAGGAAAAAGAAAGACATTCTTGGTAAAAATGGCAAGCTAGCCTTTTTAAATAAACATCAATTTTACAAAGACAAAAAAGAGTGTTTTCCTTATTAAAAAACAAAGATGTTAACAATGGTTAGTATTGAGTGGCAGGAATGTGGGTGGTTGTGTTCTACTTTGTTCTCTTCTATATTTTAAAATATTCCCTTAAACACACAGAGCATTCCACTGTGGACTTTCAAGGTTTGTTCTCTACTGCTGATTACACAGAACCCCATCAAGAAGCTCCATTATCCCATGCTGCACCTAATTTCCAACAACCAGTGTTGGGGCAAAATGGAGGTCTCGTGGGATAGTAACCAGGTTGAAAATGAGGGACTTAGTTAATGGGACACTGAATCTGTCATGAAGCACACTAAAGCACGAAGGGCACATTCAGTCAGTTACCTTTTAAGGACAATTGGGACGGCAATGGAAGGGTTCTTCCTCAGACCATCAATGATGTCAGCTGCTTTATCAGCATATATCCTCTGGAGTGCTTTTCGATGAATAACTTCCGATGTGCCCCCAAGGGTGTTGTCCAAGCGAAATTTGGCTTGTTCCTCAGCAGACAAGCGAGAAAGCTTCTTCTGTATTGCTTCCAGAACCCGGATCGTTGCCAGATTGGTCTCTAAAACTACATCAAGCTAATTCAAAAGACAAAGTGTGCTCAGAACCCAAACCGGAATAGAAGAGCGGTCAAAAGTATGAAGTAGGGAGCCAAATTCCTTGGATTTGAATCCTAGCTCTGCCATAGTAGCCATACAAAATTCTATTTCCTTATCAATAAAATAGGGATAACATCACCTACTCTCATAGGCTGTTTTCTAGATTAGACGATATAATCCAAATAAAGGGTTTAGTGCAAGGCCCGGCACATAACATCCAATAAAAGATAGGTAAGTGGTAGTTGTTACTTCTAACAACACCAGTGTGCTTTGCTTAGAACTACTGACCCCAGACCACAGGGACCTCACAGGAGGCAACCTTACTGACACTTTCCCCTGAACTTTCCTGGATTGCTAAAACCGGTTACAAATGATAAAATGAAACAAAACAAAATGAAACAAAACACACAACAATCCCCAAAAGATGATAAATGATGATAAATCAGTCTTATGTGTAACGTTTTTCAGGGTAACCTGAAATATTTAAATGTTTAATAGCCTTGTTCTACATCCAGTAATAGTAAGAGCAGCGACTATCATTCCTTAAGGACTTCAATGTCGTGTCTGTAAGTTATCATTTAAATTCTAACAGAACTCCTGGCAAGGGCCTACCCAGATCTGGTTAAGGATATAACTAGCAACCTTTGAGTAACTCTTGTCCTAGGCTTCACACAAGATTCTCCATATGAGAAACAGAAAACGAAGTAAACAAGAAGTCTCAGGGTCCTGTGACCAAATGTCTATGGAAGTGTTCCCAGTGTGGCACAGTCGGTTGAGCTTTCAACTCATGGTTTCGGCTCGGGTCAGGATCTCAGGGTCTTGAGACTGAGCCCCTCACAGGAGCTCAGTGCTCAGCGTGGAGTCAGCTTGAGATCCGCCCCCCACCGGCTCTCTCTGCCCCTCCCCTGCTTCGGCACATGTGTGTGCACGCATACTCTCTCAAGCAAATAAATCTTAAAAAAAAAAAAAAAAAGTGTCCTAAAGTAATTCTGATGAGCAGGATCCCCCACTAAACATCAATGCACATATAGCATGATCAAGAAATAAATCTGTTTTTTCAAGCCACTGAAATTTGGGGGTTGTCCACACTGCAGGATCACTAACCTATCCTGAGGTATAAAGGAATGCTCCTTCAAACTAGCCCATCCCACTCAATCCTAAGCACATGCACACACACCTTCATCCTCATGCCTGTAATCACAGATGGGAAATGCGGATGTTGCCTTTTATAGGCATACCAATTGAGAATAGGTACATCTTGTCAGAAAAAGATGCCAATCTCTGCTTTCTAACTCCTCATCTAACCTTACTAAACGTAGGTAACAAGGAAATGCTTTCTTCAGCCTGATAAAACTTTCCATGGAAGTTAGCATCTGTCATGACTTCATTTTGTGCAAATGGTTGAAACTCCTCACGAACACTGGGGCCAGTCACCTGCCAGTGACTGCCACAACATGTGGCTCTTCATTCAAGACATGTCAGAAACAGCTGAATCAAGTGTGAAGGGAGAATGGCTGGCAGAGCTAAATCAGCATGGATTTAAAAAAGAGCAAGATCTCTCCCATCTATATGAATAAGCAGGGCCAGTCACTTTTATACAATAAATACATTAAATAGGATACACATCATTTTACCTCTTCAGACACTTTGAACATTCCCTTTTTGTTGATGATATCAGTGAGCTAGATGTTTTAACACACTGGGGATTCTGAGCCCACTATCAGTGCTCCTACTCCTGGTACAGAGGCTCTCCCAGCTCACTTATTTACTCCAGCTCTTCCCTTCCCAACTACTTTAAAATAAAGCCCTAATTTCGCTTTCTTTCACAAGGAGCCAAATAAATAACAGATATAGGAGAGAAGAATTCCAGTTCTCACAGGAGAGCTGGTTTGCTAACCATGTCAAGATACCTGCTAAGAATGACAATACACACTTTAAATAATTAAACCTCTTTGAGAGAGCCCAGTCAGCCTTAAGATATAAGATATATATATGTTTTGTATACCCTGTAAAACACAATAAACTTTAAAATGTTGTTAAAAATTCAAGGGATTATTATTCAGCCATCAATGGATAACTTCAAAAGGGTTAAGGTGGCCTAGATAGGTCACACTTGCCCTAAAATATTACTGATATATTTGATGAACTCGGAAAGCATTATAAATAGGACAATAAGCATTTACTAGTGAAGAACATGAGACTTTGGCTCTTTGGTCTTAAAAAGCCAAGCCTCACAGACAGATATTTAAGATGTCTTAGCATGTAGTGCCTCCCATTTCCACAACCTCCAAATGATACAGGAGCTTGTACCTCAAAGCGTTCATCTTCACAACGATAGATGTGTTCTTCATACTGGGTTTTCTTGGAACTAACAAAGGTGGAGTCCTCAGACCAGGAAGGGAAGGAAACCCAAGTATCATTTAAAACCTTTGGGTAAAAGAAGAGAAACTGAAGCTAAAGTGTAACAAAGCTTTCTGGTAATTAAGCATTCTCAGTAAAAAGACAGACATAACTCTAGGGGATGGGAGAAATGACTAACATTACAGCTTTCACCTTTAGCAAGTTTGCAAAGATGGGAAAGGTTCTGGATAGTAGTATAAAACATTTTCTTCTGAGAAAAGACAAAGAAGGGACTTGACTTCCTCATTCACATAAATTCTCAATCGCTGGTGTCACTCCCTTCTGGAGAAAGGAGAAGATTGAGGGCTGATCCTTTCTAGGGAAGGCCTTACCTCTTTACAGAGAGGAGTCCGTCCTGTACACTTGGGCTGCTGGTAACTCTTTGGTAGGGCTCGATAGCTAGAGCCCAACCGTTTACAAGAGGCATAATCTATCTCCATGGCAATGCCCTCTGTGGCTCGTTCCTTTGGAAAGGTTTCCAGATGTACAGACTCCTTATAGCCCAGAAAGTTCTTAAACCAATTAAACAATTCAGGGAATTTCCTAAAGAATCAAACCAAAAACTGGTGAGCAATTAGAAGCACGATGCAGTTATCCTGAGGTATGGCTACTACTATTTGGTGTTGGGTCAGAACTCTGCTACCAGGGACAAATTCTAATTACAATTATTATTTCCTGCCTAAGAAGTCCTGCTTCTGAGCATCTGGCTTCCCCTTTTCTTGTAGAGCGCTCCAAGACCAGTTAGGGTACTGATGGAAGAGTTGCACCGAAACTAAGCAATAACCAGCTGTTCTTCTAATCAAGAAGACCGCTTTAATGCTCAGATCATTCTTAGGTTGTCAAATACAGTCAAGATTCTAGAACCCCAGAAGAGACTGGTCTCTATAAACATCCAGCACTGCTCAGTGCATCGGGAAACCACTAGTCTTGGCCGATGCCCTCTCTGCCTATTTTTCCATCTGTAGAGTTAAACTAGAAGAATTCCTGGAGGACTCCTGTGACACTGACATTTTATGAGTCAACTAACTGACCCACCATGATCAAATCATGTTTGCCCATCACATACCCTCACCTCCATAGCACCCGTCAAGGCTGAGTCCTTCACTCCACTTACCCCAGGAAAGGAGAGACTAGCTGTACAAGCTCAGCCCGAGAGATCACCTCCTGGTTAAAGATAACAAGACAGCGCAGGAAATTCTCATAGGCCTCTGCACTCCGCAGAGCCTTTCGGACCTTATGGAGACAACCAGAAGAGAAACAGTTAGATGGGAAATCAAGAGATCCCAGATTGCTTTTAAAAGATTGGGAAATTTAAATAGTTATTTGATGATACTAAAGGAGCTGATATTAGTTTTTTTAGATGTGATAATGATTATGTTTGAGAAAAGTGTCACTTTAAAAGGAAACTTACTAAATACTTATGGATGAAATAACATACTATCTAGGATTTGTCTCCAAGTAAACCGGGGTGGGTGAGAGTACATATGAAATAAGTACACTGGCTAGTAGGAGGGAACTATGGAGGCTGGATGATGGGTACATGAGGAGTCATTCCACTCGGCTCCTTCATTTCACATGTTTAAAATGTTCCACGATAAAAAAATATATAAATGAGATCCTAGAGTATTACATTTACGTTCTTATATGCTTGATTTTCCAACCATATCAGAGTTACCCTAGTTTTTGTTGCTTCTCCTAACAGATGGTTACAGCAATAATCTTTGTCAACACTGTTTTTAAACTCTGGTAATCTTGAATAATTTTTTAAATAAGACACTTCTGTCCTCTGAACTGATCCTTTTCCTTCCTCCACTTATAATACTGAGCACTTTAACATCCAAAAACCTAAAAATGTTCAATGTCATACACAAGGTAAAACTAGCCTGACTAGATGACCAATGTGGAGTTTCAATTTAAAAGTAAATATTTAGGGGCGCCTGGGTGGCTCAGTCGTTAAGCGTCTGCCTTCAGCTCAGGTCATGATCCCAGGGTCCTGTGATCGAGTCCCACATCAGGCTCCTTGCTCAGCAGGGAGCCTGCTTCTCCCTCGGCCTCTGCCTGCAGCTCTCCCTGCTTGTGCTCACTCTCTCTACCTGACGAATAAATAAATAAAATCTTAAAAAAAAAAAAAAGTTTAAAAAGTAAAAAAAAAAAATGAAAGTAAATATTTAGTATTGTGGTCCTTTAGTGAGGACTGTAGACAGATCCTCACCAAACCAAGCAGTTTAGCAACAACCCCTTCTCCAGGCTCCTGTATACTTTTATAACTATCAGTCAGTAGACATTACATGGAATATGCCTTTTCACAAAGCCAAAGATGAAAGAGAACTGTCCTTTTTGTATACATAATATTGACTTTTAATTTTTTATCAGCCTTTAAACATGCACAAAAGTAGACTGAATAGTCTAATGAACCCCATGTATTTGCCCAGCCTCAATAATATATAGTAAATTTTATTTCATCTATAACCATTTCCTCCACCACTGAATTTTAAAGCAAATTTCAGACATTTCATCTCTACAGCTGACCTTTGAACAAAATAGGTTTGAACTGTGTCCCACTTACACGTGAATTTTGATACATACAGCACTGTAAATGTATTTTCTCTTCCTTATGATTTTAATAATTTTCTTTTCTCTAGCTTATTATACAGTATACTGTATAAATAACATACAAAATATGTGTTACTCAACTGTTAAATATTATCTGTAAAGCTTCTGGTCTACAGTAAGTTTTTGGGGAGTCACAAGTTATACTCAGATTTTCAACTCGCATTGTTCAAGGGTCAACTATATATCAGTACGTGTCTCTAAGAAATAAGTACTCCAAAGACAAACAAAAAAATACCATCACTCTTTAAAAAATTAACTTATTCACACCCCACCCCTCCACTCTTTCATTGTCATTTGTTGGTTGTGAGCTGGGCTTCCACATTTCCCTTAAAAGCACTAAATGCCCAGGAAGCCCTCAGGAATGGTTCAAATCAGAGCCAAAGACTCAACTGTTAGGCAGGATAGCTCACACAGGCGCAGCAGGCTAGAGATCAGGAGGCACCAATCATGGAGATGCTAAAACACCTGCCCTTTTGCAAAAAACCCAAAGTTGCAAGACAGGGTAAATCTGCACCAGATCATTCCAGGCTGGTTCCTGTCAGTGAGAAGTCTGACAGTTACCAATTACCCTGATGAAAGCAGGCTGGTAGTCATCAAGTTGACTCCAAGGAGGATGTCAGACATAGGGGGAGAGTTAAACCAATACACCACACAACACTGTTTACACCAGTAATCACAACGCTGGCTACTTATCAGGATCACCTAGGGAACTTTGAAAACATACAGTTATATCAGAAATCTCACAAACCCTGTGTGCAATACCACATATAAGTACCACAAGCAATTAGAAGATCACAAGTTATCTGAAGTCCTCAACAACTGGTACAGACCTGGATATACGGTGGGTAGCTCCAAACATCTTCCAAGAGTAACATCATGCATTTTTTAAAAGCGGTCTTCCACCATGGGAAACGCTGTAAACTACTTCACAAAACCAAAACAGACAATGCTATATTTCCCTACCTGTGCTAATGGTTCCGGTAGCCTGAAAGGACCTACAACTTAGAAACTATGTTAACAAGCAGAAAGTCCTATCAGCTTCAAGTCTCTTTAACAAAATCTTCTTGGGAATAGGGTGATTTTCTTTTGGCATTAATAGCCTATATTAAATCTAATTCAATCATTACTCACCTTATCAAAAAATAATGATTCTGTTCCTACACCATGCTTGCTGGCATCTGCCATGGAAGAATCCTTTAAGCTGAGCAGTTTAGGTTTCTTCTGCAAAAAAGGAAAAATACAAACATATAAGAGCCAAGTAGTGTTCTTGGAGTTTTATTTTCATCTGTGTTCAATGGGTCCATCACTGACCACTGCTGTCAATAATTTGCAACAAATGAGAGAATTCAAATCACTCACTCACTTTACCCCCTAAAAGATTTCCACCCATCTTCTCCATCTCACCCTGAGGTTCACAGATCATTCTATTTCCCAAATATTCTCTCTACAAATGGTCACCTCATTACTGTGATAACAGAACATCCTTACTTTTTCCATTAGCCAAAAGTAACTATTTGGAACCTAGTGCCACTATCTCAGCTTCTTAGAGGTGGAGGCAAAGAGTTGGAGCACACTGGCAGAAGTGGATAGAAATCAATCTTTAACCTGTAACTATAATTCAATTTAAAAATTCATGAAAAAAGGCACAGTTTATTTTCCTAAGAGAAGGAATGACTCTCTCTCGTCAGCAAGATCTACTTGGACCAATTTAAGATTACGTTTTCAAAGGGAATGAGTAGGCCATGACATAACTGTCAAGCAAGAATTCACTTTTAAAAAGCCATCTCTCAACTACCTGCAAAGAAATGCACAAACTTTGGGAGAAGCAGCACATTTACCTTGACCACCTCAGAGTGCACTCTCTCAAGAGCCAAAGCCTCTGCTGCTCAGGCTGCCTAAGGAGAAAAGTAGGTAGGGAATTCTAATCCCCCTTTCTAGTGTTTCCACCTGAGGGTAATCAAGTGTGGGCGGGGACCAATGCAAGAGTGGAGCTTAACTGCCAACCTCATTTTTGCTACCCATATAACACTCTTTACTAAAGTGACAAAATATAAACTATTTCTACGTTCAATCTGCTTTCAAAAGGAAAAGCCATTACAAACACTAAAAAAATAGCCTGATTTCAAAAGTGTGAGCAACACCTAACATGTCAGTCTTTGTAGTCCTCTGCTTGTTCACCTCCTACTGTTAGAAATTCCACTAACTTTTATTATTCATTCATTAGATTCTGCAGACACGTCCATCTCTTCCACATTACATACTGTTTTAGAATTCACTGAAGCAACATTCAGTACATACACCTAGCTCTGTCCCTAACACAGCTGCACCACATCAAAGTGGAAGAGCACAAGCCTAGCTTTCCGCAGGCAGACCACCAATGTTTACTATAACGAGAAGCATTATGTGATACGTCACTAACAGAAATTTAAGATCCCCTCCTGCTACAGCCCAAAGGTCCTGCCTTGGAGATTAAAATGATACAGATAAGATCTTGCAACCCAACAAAGAAACCTGGGCAGGATGGGCCTCTACACCAAAGAGATCTCACAAAGTATACACACTTTATTCACAGGAGGACTTTAGAGACCACTTGACTTATTTCTGAAACAATTAGCTTAATAATCTTCCTTCTTATTATCACAAGGCAGGTTGAAGGCACCAAGTCAGAGGAAGGGAAAAATTAGTCTCAGAAACCTTTAGCATTAAACAAAAAAAGACATGATGGCTAATAGCAAAGAGAGAAAATATAGAGAAAACAATAAAAACTCAAAAAGTTCAGTAATTTGTGTAATCAGTGATATTCTAACATTCTTTTGCAAAGCCAGATAAGAAGCTTTGCACTGAGTTTCTGTGACATACACCAATTCACTCTGAGTACCCATGATCCAACTTTCAACACGCTTGGATAAGAACCCGTGAACAACCTGCAGCCGCCGCCCACTCTCACCTTTACCGGAGGGGTGGTTCCCGATCCTGAGTGCCGACGGATCTGGCAGCCATTCTGGTTGGGCCTCTGTGGCTTGTTGTTCAGCTGCGGCTTCTTCACAGTGCCTCCATGGTCATTTCTCACGGAATCAACCTTCTCAGCCGTTGTTTTGCTTAAAAGCTAAGTAAGACACATGAAAGAAATTATATCATTTGAATAAAGTCAGCTTGTTTTCAGCTTCCTAACTTATTTAAGATAATAATTCTAAATAGTGTAGTTCTTTCTAAGTAAAACTTACCACAGAGCTGTTGGCATCTGGTAGGAACTGTCCAAACTCTGACAACAGATCTTCCTGATTTTTAAAAAGACGAGCCACCTGGGCATAGACCTCCTGCTCAGTCAATGCTGGAGTGTAGTTTCCTCCAGCTTCCTTGGCATTTCGTTGCTCTTTCTGACAGGAAATTGCAAATGGGAAGGTATCATATTAGAGGGCCACTGTTCTGAATGACTCCCTTTTGCACACTTTCTGGGATGTTATCTATTCGGGCTGTACCTAAGAAGAAAAGTCTCTGTTCTTAGCACTTGTTTTAACTGCAAGCTTTTAAGGTGAGAAATGAGTGGAAGAGGGTGGCTGAAAATTTTTTTAAAACTAGGACACGGGTGCCTGGCTGACTCAGTTGGAAGAGCATGCAACTCTTGATCTCAGGGTCATGAGTTCGAGCCCCACGCTGGGTACAGAGGTTAAATAAATAGCCTTTAAAAAATAAAAGAATAAATAAAAGTAGGACAGTATATGTGAATGTCCAGGGGACCATTACCAACCAATAAAACACAAGACATTAGAGAAATGTCTCCTCCTTCAACTGTAGATGAACTACACTACACTACACAAACCATCCTCTAAGCCCCCCAGATAATAAGCATCTGCTTCACAGGGCAGTAACTTAAAAATCCTGTCTAATTGTTATAAAGCAATTAAAGTCAGGCAAATCAAACTAGCTTCATAAACACACATCACAGTTTTTAACCTGTTGACTTCCAGTAACAATTAGAGAACATAATAATGGTTATTCAAGTTCTTCTCCGACCAGATGCCCTCAGCGTGTGACCTGGTTAATACAGACTGAAAGGGCAACTCTCTTACCTGATATGTGTGCAAAATCTCCAGGAACGCTTTGTAGATGTCTGGTTGGCCCTGGAACCTGTTCTTGATTTTATTAACATAGTTGATGGCATGATTAAACTCCACAGGCTGATTGTTCTGCAAGGATGGGGCCGTTCCCAACGAGATTGTCACTGGTGTATGAGGCTGAACAGGTGGAGAGCGCGGGGATGCATACGGTGGGAGAGGGGGAGTCTGCTGACTGGCTGGAGTATGTGCTTGTAGTTGGGAAGGCTAAAAAGAAAAAAGTCATTATTCTCTTCAAGAACACAGATGGTCTGACATAGGAAAAAAGGTCAAGCTAAAGAGAAGCAAGATGTCTGATCAACAAACATCCTTAATTCACTCTGGCCAGGCCATTTTAGCCCAACTCAAATCATACTGGGCAGGGGTAGGGGGTGCAAAGGGCTCACACATTCTAATACAGATATTTTAGTCTCAAATTTTCTAAATACAACCTGAAAAGTGGCTGCATCTCCAATTACAGGGAAGAATTTTTCTAATGCAATTTTTGAGCTCACTCAACAGGTGCAAACAGAAGAGGGGGAAAAAAAAACAACGAACCTTCACTCTCCATAGATCTGTAATGTCAAAAGACACTTGTTGCCGAAATCCACATAAAAATCTTCTAAACTACCTCTGTCCAATAGAAATGAGGTGATGGCAATGTTCTTTCACACTGCACGGTCCTATAAAATACATCCACTAAGCCACCTGGGGCTACTGAGCACTTGAAATGTAGCCATTACAACTGAAAAACTGAATTTATTTTAATTAGTTTAAATTTAAACACAGCCATATGTGGCTAGTGGCTACAGTATCAGACAGTGCAGTTCTAGAATAAGAACATTCCACCACCATCATCACCACCATCAATAGGGTCTTCTGCTTGGCTTGATATGAACTAATCTGGTAAATGGGAGTGACTTTTATAAAATGATGGCCCTGTGGGCAGTAGCATAATCTGATCATCAGAAGACCATTTCCGCCTGTGCTGTCAAAGTACTAGTACACAAGTAAAGTGGCCATCTGTTGGGGTGCTCATGGGTTCACGAGGCAGGAGGTGGAGACAAAACAAGTCCTTATAGATTACTGATGTGTTGATTCAAACAGATAAATAAATATGTGGAAGGTAAATGTACACCATCTTATAGGGATGTGACTATGGCATTTTCTCTGATGAAATCACTACAACTGATGTCTCTAAGTCTTATATAAAGGGGAAATGTCAAAGGAGGGTGCTCTCTAGGGATGCATTTTACATGATGCAAAGTATTCCAAGTGCTCACCTTGCTGACTTTGGCAGGTGGGGGCTGAGGAGCTGGCTGGGCAGGAGCTGGGGCTGACTGGGCTGAAGGCTGGGAAGGATGCTGGGGTGGTGGCTGAGGCTGGGGCTGGATGCCATGGGTGGGGATCTGATGAACCTGGCCAGGAGTTGTCACGTTCACCATGTCATTGGTTTGCACCTCAATCTTGTAGCCAGGGGGCAAGAAGGTATTGAAGCCCATAATCAGGTCAGGGTGGCCTTTGAACAGCTGGGACACACGACTAATCACTCCTGGAGTGTCAATGCTGATTAAAACAAAAAACAAAACACATACACACACACACACACACACACACACACAAATTAAAGTGGCAAGCTTGACAACACCCTATTAAGAAAAAAATACACATTCCACTAGGTTCTCTGAACAGGAAAACAAGTAAAAATCAACCTGCATTATTACAAAATCAACAAAACATAAAGAACTCTGACATTGCAAAGCAATTTTAGCCCCATATTCAAAGAGGTTTGGTCACAATTTTGAACAGAATCTACATTCATGATAACAGTCCTAACAAGCAGATACTCAAGAGTTAATCTAAAGCAGCAATTCCCATGCAAGATCCACCCTCTGACACACCAGTATAAATCATTATGTGTCTACGTTTTTCACGAATTATTCTAACAGTGAACCATGCCAGAATATTAGTGTATCTTAAATCAACTCAAAGAGCCGGTAGCCTCATTACCAGTCTACTTCCCTGATTGAGGTGAAGTACTAAGAAAAATTTTAGTTAAGAAAAATTAACCAATAGGGAGAATACAAAGGTCTAGGACCCGTAACTGTCAACAATAAAGCAATACATAAAATAAAAGCAAGACCCTAAAAATTAAACCCCCCAAAAGACGGCACCCTTTATCTTTCAGCGCATGAGAATGAGCCATATCCTCCCTCCAAAATCAACATTTCAAGCACAAAGCTTGAATACAACCACATAGATCTTTTACCTCTGAGATTTAAATTCCTTCATGATGTCAAGGAAATCATTGTAGACCTGAGGCTGACTACCAAATTGCAGCTTCACCTGGTCAAGATAGGACAGCGCATCTTCCACCTGAGGTAGGGATAAATCTCAAGGTTATAAAAAGAAAGTAAGCCAAGAATTATTAAAAAACAAATGATTTATACCTAAATAAAATTAACGTACTAAATGAAATAAAAAATATAGTAAATATAAATGAGAGTATTAAAAAATTAGTATGGATGCCAATAATAAGACTCAAGCTTAAAATAAAAATCAATTCATAAAATTTGTAGCCTTGCCTTGGAAAATTTTGGGGAGAATCATTAGTGAAAAAATCATCACATTAATATTTCACTTATTCATTCATTTATTCGTTTCACAAATATCTACTAAGCTACAACATACTACACCAGGCCCAACATGAGGTACTAAGGAGTCAATGACAAACAAGCCACAGCCCCTGCTCTACAGAAGTTCATTCACATCTAGTTGGGAATTCTAATACAGTGGGGTAAATGGGGGATCACTGAATGCCCAGAGAGCACATGGGAAGGGCACTTCTGCACTAAAAAAAACCCATGGGCACATAAAGGAGGGCTTCCCCAAGAAGTGACGTCTAAATCTAAACTGAGTCCTAAGGATGAGTACAAGTTGCACAAACGAAGACAGACCTACAAAGAAAGTCAGAGGAAGCATCATGAGCAAAATCCCAGACAGGACACCATCTGGTACACTGGGAAAACTGAAAACAGTTTAGTTTGGCTGAAGGATCTGTGGTGAAAAGGAGGAACGTGGTAGGAAGAATGACAAGAGAAGAGACAGGAGAGCAAGCAGGATCTAGATCCCAAAAGGCCTTGTAAATCTTATTAAGAAGCAGTTTAGGGGTGGGGTGCATAGGTGGTTCAGTCGGTTAAGCATCTGACTCTGGCTTAGGTCATGATCTCAAGGTCCTGGGATCGAGCCTCTAGTCTGGCTCGACACTCAGCGGGGAGTCTGCTTGTCCCCCTGCCCCTCCCCTCACTCGTGCTCCCACTCTCTCTCAAAAAAATAAAATCTTTAAAAACAAAACAAAGACCAAAAAAAAAACAGTTTAGGGGTACCTAGGTGGCTCAGTAGGTTAAGCGTCTGACTCTTGATCTTGGCTCAAGTCATGATCTCAGGGTGGTGAGATCAAGCCCTGCACTGGGCCCTGGGCTGGGAGAGGAGCCTTCTTAAGATTCTCTCTCTCCCTCTCCCTTTGCTCCTCCCCCTTCATATTCAGAACTTTCCATACTGAAATGTTTCATTAATGACCAAGCTGATGGAACATAAAACTAAGTTTGCAGAAGAAACAAAGACTTTGGAAGATATTTAAGAATAGCATTCACGGGGCACCTGGGTGGCTTAGTCATTAAGCACCTGCCTTCAGCTCAGGTCATGATCCCAGGGTCCTGGGATGGAGCCCCACATCGGGCTCTCTGCTCAGTGGGAAGCCTGCTTCTCCCTCCCCCAACCCCCCTGCTTGTGTTCCCTCTCTCTCTGTCTCTCTGTCAAAATAAATAAATAAAATCTTAAAAAAAAAAGAATAGCATTCACAACCACATGACAAAGGAGGAACTGTCAAAAATAAACACAAAATTGTGAATAAAAAAGTAAGCATGCTATGGTATAATAATAATTACTACAGAGAGAAAAAGTGCAGATGCCTGAATCAAAGAAATTATGTGATGTGTTTTGTCTAGAGAAAAAAAGGTACTGGTCACAGTGAACTACTATTTAAATTAGTTATAAACCAACACTATGCTTAAAAAATACCCAGAATGACAACCACATTATAAATGAAATATCTGGGGGCCTGGGTGGCTTAGTCCGACTCTTGATTTCATCTCAGGCCATGATCTCAGGATTGTGAGATCGAGCCCCATGTCGGATTCCGTGCTGGGCTAGGAGCCTGCTTAAGATTTTCTCTCTCCCTCTGCCCCTCCACCCCAATAAACAAACAAATATACTATCTGTATGTAAACACAGTGAGGAAATTCTCTCATTATCTAAAGTATAGTTCAACTCTTTATAAAAGAGTGTATGCGGCTCTAGGAACCACAACTTAGAAGAAAACAACTTGGGGCTGGTCCTTCTGAAGCTACAGTCCTAGGGAAGCACTTGGGGAGGCCCCGAGTCTGCTGATGTATTTTCTTGGCTCACTTCAACAGGCATTTATTATTGAGGTCCCTAACCTCTTAAAGTTCACAATCTTGTAGGGGAAACAAACACAAACAACTGTAAAGAGAACTTGCTAAAGATGTGCCAAATATCTATGCTGCTAGCATTCAACAAGTAGCTAAATCACATCAAACATGGCTGAAATTATTCAAATCTTTCTTGTCATCAATCTGCCAAAGACAAAAAAGAAGGTATAGACAATGCTGATGCTTGAAATAACCTAAGTATTTTCACTGAACACTCCTCATTATAGAATATAAATGGTTTATTGAAGTTGATTCAAATGCTTGTAAAGCATTTTAAGACTGATCCAAAAATGGCAGGCAATGTGGGAATACATTGAATGAAGCTACAATGGAGGCACAAAAAAGCATTTTACCCCTCCTCATCAGAACGGGAATTCAACACGTTATTGTATCCAGGAATCATATACAAGGGTGAGAAGAGAAGGAACAGACAACTGACTCCGCCCATGACTCACTCTATAACCCCAACTCCAGAACCCTTTCTTGCTTCCTTGACAGTTTCTGTAAAACAGACAAAGCACATCTGTATACTTATACCCAAGTGAGGGAGACGAGTAAAATAGTGCTGTGCTTTGATAGGACTGGCTGAAAAAGACTATAGAAATATACATTTTTGTTAGTTTAACAGCAAGTTTAGAAGCTCTTTGGCATCATTAAGGTATTAACTAATTGCTGAATACCGTATTAATATGGAATTAAATCATACCAAACCAACTTTAAAAAATATTTTCAGGACTTTGTGAAATGCTAAGTTCATGGCAATAATACAGTTTGGTACACAGCCATCACTCTACAAGCAGACAGGCAAAATGTTTTAAGAAAAACATCAATATAGCTTACACAAATTTTCCCAAAGATAGAGCCCAGAGTGAAGTTTCAGGCCCAAATAATTTGTATTCTCTTTAAAGACTATGCCTAAGTATAGTCAACTCTTTTTTTTTTTTTTTTTTAAGTATAGTCAACTCTTAATTACTTAATATAGACAAAATAAATTTTACAAAATCCCTCTATATAGTTTAGTTTTGGTATGCTTTATATTTATGTAGCACTTAGTTTCCTTAGGCCAAAATTAAACAAGTCCCTGAGAACTCAAACCAATGTGGGCAGGGATCAGGGGGAACTAGATTAAGTATCAAGGAAAAGAGAGGGCCGAAATGTTTGCTACGCATGGAAGTGTCCTTCAAGAGTATCCTCTTCATTCCTACCTGGAAACTATTTAATTAGGCTGATAGGACCAAATGAAGACCCAACATCCCATTTCTTTATAGTTCTTTAATTTGTATTTCTTGCAACTTGATTTGAAATTTTATATAAATGTAAAATTAGAAAAACTGAAATCTGGAACACTTACTCCAACAATCACTTATTTTGAAAAGTAACATTCCAGTAAGCAGAGAGAGGCTTAGCTGGGAACACAAGCCTCACTTCTCCACAGATGCCTCATGAATTTCAAAAGCACTGAAAACCTACAGCACATACTCAGCAGAACAGATGAAAACACTGACACTTCATTCACAATTATAGTCTTCCCCAATCTTTATAAATGTTCCCAAAAAAGGAGCATGTGTTTTACTAAGGATGGACTGGAAGATGCCAGCCCATTCAGCTATTTATAAGCAGGGATAAAAAGATTAAATCGTAAGGTAATACTGGACCCAGTAACTGTACAGGACCATAGCCAACCATGTGTACGCTCAATAAAACCTTCTGCCGTACTAAGAACTAAGAGTTCAAAAGGAGGTATCCAAAAAAATGGACCTTGTTTATTGCGTACGAAAACAGTCCCTCTATCCTGACACGTCTGAGTACCATGCATTCATACATTCCAAAAACATTTCTTGAATGTAATTCTCTGGATCAGGCACTGAGGGTAAAATGGGAAATCTAAGTAGGCTTCAAAACAAAAACAAAGTAAAACTCCTTGTGATTCAACCCCTAGTCTGGCATGTTAAAAGTTATAATGCCACTACTAATAGACCGAAGCCAATGCTTCCTGCTGAGAGACAGAACTTTTTAATGGAAGAAGAGGAGCTGAATATCACCTTAAGCCTCTGAAATTGCTGCTGTCCCTGCACTGGTGTGACTGGCGGGGCGGGATGAGCGTGACTCTGGACCCCCTGGCCTCCATGGGGCTGCACAGCGGCCGGGTGATGGTGGCCACTGTGAACCGCTGTGATGCTGGGCCCGTGACCGCCAGAGCTCGGGGGCACTGCTGAAACCTGGGGCGACAAAAGGCAGACAAGAAACGTCAAGGCTTCTACATTCTTCCCCAGATGCATCTAGAAGACATGCATGCGTACCGTTGCACACATACACAGAATTACAGCTCTTCCTTGACTTACAATAGGGTTACGTCCCGATAAATCCATTTTAGGCTAAAAATATCCTAAGTCGAAAATGCATTTCATACAGCTACCCTATCGAACATCACAGCTCAGCCTAGCCTACCTTAAATGTGCTTAGAACACTTACAGTAGCCACAGTTGGGCAAAATCATCTCACACAAAGCCCATTTTATAAGCAAGTGTTGAATATCTCAGGTAATATGTTGACTACTATACTAAGAGAGAAAAACTGGAATGGCCTGAGGGTATCGGTTGTTGACCCTCGTGATCGCGTGGCTGACCAGGAGCGGAGGCTGCCACTGCCCAGCATCAGATGAGAGTACAGTACTTCATAGTGCTAGCCTGAGAAAAGACCCAGAGTCAAAATTCCAAGTATGGGTTCTACTAAAAATCACTTCCACATTATCATAAAGTTGAAAAACTGGAGGGGCGTCTGCCTTTGGCTCAGGTCCTGATCCCAGGGTCCTGGGATCGAGCCCCGCATTGGGCTCCCTGCTCAGCGGGAAGCCTGCTTCTCCCTCTCCCACTCCCCCTGCTTGGGTTCCCTCTTTCGCGGTCTCTCTCTCTGTCAAATAAATAAATAAAATCTTAAAAAGAAAAGAAAAAAATTGGAAGTCAAACTACCCTAAGTCGGGGACTATCAGTAATTAGAAACCCAAATTTCCCACAAAAGGGAATTGGTGAAATGAAATCACCCATATTACAACAGAATTCTCTGCCACTATTAAAAATTATATGGCTCAATACTTCTCAAACTATCTATGGCAAAGGACCCGTTTTGTTTGTTTTTTTCTTCAATTCCAATCCATCATGGGCCACTACTTTTATAAAATACAATAAAAATGAATTACTAGAGAAGTGAAATGAAAAATAGGTAAGCCCATAATTTCCATTCCCACATTTTACAGATATATTACAAAATTACTATGTCCAAATCGCTGTAAGTTCCTAAATACTCTCAATTTCTATACACATGTCATTACAGACTAATAAGAAAGTATGCACATCAGCCATCTGTGGACCACACTTTGAATAGCACTGATATAAATACATATATTTTCACATTATAAAATGTTCATAATCTCTGAGTTGAATGTATTCATGTGCTGCATATGGTTTTAAACTTCTAAATATTTTTTTAGAAAACAGTATCTATAAATCAATAAAAAGATTTTAAACCTTAGGTGACAAATATATAGCAAAATGTTAGCATTTTATCTTGTGGTGATGGAATTAGAGAAGACTTTTATTTTGCTTTATTTTGCTTATCCTTATTTTCTACTTCTATCCCTACTTATTTTGCCTATCCTTATTTGCTGAACAAAACTTTCTTCCAAATTGTTAGTGGTTTGGCCTCAAACAATTATTTTCTATTCTTTCTCTCATCCTCTTACAAGCTTAGAGTGAAATAAAGCACAAGCTCCTTTCCTTCCATTTCTATTACGAAAAATGCTACACAAAATTTCCAAAACTTTTTTTATTTTCCTGTTTCAGAACTGTTAATCACCACAGAAGACAACTAAGGAAGGACAATATCCTTGATTTGCACGTCTCCAAAATAAGACTAAACAACAGGAGACTTAATCTAAACAATGGAAGTTGTATACTACAATGTAAGAGAGGATTAATTTTTTTTTTTGAAGTCCCCACAAATTTAAAAGATTCCCCTGGACAGAGGGGAGGGTGGGAAATAGACAACTACTTACAAATCCCCACAAACAATAGTTACACATTAGGAGTAAAAAGAAACTATTTGGACAATTCTGAAAGCTCTACTATATCTCTAGCAAGAAGGGTTATTATTCTGAGCTTCTATATTCCAACATACATGTTTTGAGCAGTTTTTTAAAAGGCTTAATTGGAGCTTATAAATACTTGAGATGACTAGTTTTATATGAGCACATTATAGTTTCTAATATATGAATAGATGCAACTATCCCAAGTATGGGAAACAGTCATCAATCTGTTCAGATAAAAGTAATCACCTAAGAAAAACAAGCAGCCTTTCTTTCTTCTAAGATCTAACTTAAAGATTCGATTTGCAACAGTCCTCTGACTGTGGCCCTCAGTCCCATAGGAGGGCATGGTACTACTGCAAGGGGGACTCCTGAGAAAGAATGACACCTAAGGAATCACCATCTCCTACTTCACCTGGATTCCCCTCTTCCTTGTTTTCTTATAATAAATTCTGAGAAATTTATGGAGTTATGGAATTGCTAGGTCAAAAAGTAAAGAATCTGCCACAACTGTCAAATTGCTTTCAAGAAAGGTTACACTAATTTATGTTCCCAGTAGCAGTCATAACTTTTTAAAAGTCACTAACATGTTAGGTTGAAGAAGGCCTCTCCAGACCAGTTAAATAAATTATGATTCAGACTGACCTAGAATGGAATATTATAAATGCAGTGATTTCTTAAAAACTACTTAGATCTATACATACGTATTTAAGTGGAAAGTTGTCCAGTATATATTAAGTGAAAAGAGCAAATAGCAGAACAGTGTATACTGTATCATTCAAATTACATAAAAAGAGAAGTGTATCCAGATAGGTAGGCAGGTGACTATAGATACCCAAGAAATCACGAAGGGCTTAAAGTCTGAAGGGTCAGAGAAAGAAGTCATCTTGGATCATTTCTCAAAAAAAAACCAAACCATGGTGATATTTACTTTCATAATTAAAAAAGGCAAAAAACAAATTTCTTCCATTTCTACAAAACAGAGTAAAGAGATAAGAGATGAAAGATCAGCACTGGTCAGGGCATGGAATGATAGGAATATACAATGCTGGTGGAAATATAAATTGGTACAATTCTGAAAAACAATTTGACGTTACCTGCTAGAGGAGAAGTCGCGCACACCCTATGACCCAGCAATCCCTCTCCTAGATACCCGAAAAACTCTTCTTCATGTGCCCTCAAACCTGCTGAGCGGGCTGCAAGAAGATAAGGAGTTTGCACCACAATGTAAACCAACTGCTTCACTAATAAGCACACTATTTAATTCAGCTGCCTTTGTTTCCCCATGGCAACACTTTTTTTTTTTGATTAAAAAAAAGTAGCACATTGATTTAAATTCTGGTGCAAGCTTATCTTGTCATGGATTGCCACTGTGAGCCCCACTGCACCAGGAGAAAGTCACACAGCACCTTTACAAGTAAAAATCTGGTAACAGCCTGAGAGTACAGCAAAAGAAAAATGGATAAGTAGATGGGATATATTCATATAATTCATAAAAGAGTGAAAATGACTCAATTATTTACACACAAAAATAGGGTAAGTCTCGGGAACCGCACCGAGTGAAAAAAAGTGAGTTAAAGAAAAAAATATAAGGGTGCCTGATGGCTCAGTGGGTAGAGCATGTTACTCTTATCTCAAGGTTGTAAGTTTAAGCCCCAAGTTGGGTGTGAAGATTACTTAAAAATAAAATCTTTAAGGGGCTCCTTGGTGGCTCAGGCAGTGGAACGTGCAACTCTTGATCTTGGGGTTGTGAGTCTGAGTCCCACACTGGGTGTAGAGATTACTTAAAAACATTTAAAAAATAGAATAATTTAAAAATAATAAAAAATTAAAAACCTGTGTGGTGAGTACCCAAATATACATTGTTTCTGTTATTTGTTATATCTTACAGATACCCCATAAATATAATTTTGTATCTAACTGGATGCTTAATACAATTTTTTTTTCATTGGACATAATCACCAATGCCCCTCCCTCACACTGAGTCCCTTGCTGGGTTCCAGCTTACCTGATAGCTGGGTGTCACGGAGTACTGAATTCCCGTGGCTGACTGCATGGTCTCGGACACTGTTTCATACACAGGAGGGGCAGGGGCAAGCACCCGGTGCTGGTGAGGAAAAGCCTCTGTGCTACCAGGGATCCGACGCTGCTGGGCCGCATACACCGGTGACTCCTGGTCATCCAAACGTCGCTTCATTCTGCGCTCATGCTCAGGGATGCACCACAAAACCTGCAGAAACCAAAAGCATCGATATGCAAACCAGTTCACACTCCAATGTGATGTGTACAACTTAGGACCAGTCACCCAAATTTACTATAAGCTCAACTCCCAAAACCAACTATTTACTTCATCCTGAAGATGATCACTGGCTAGTTTAAGTGCATGCTTGCACACACAGGCCCCACAGTGGACAGTGTATCATAACTCAAAAGACATAAGTTTAAATAATAACATAGTCTGAATTAACCTGGGACTACAGAGTTGAAAAATAACCTCCAATTTAAAAACATGAAAATACACCTTTCCCTTCTTTATTCTCTAGTTTTCTTCTCAAATGCCATCATTCCTAACATCAATGACACATTCACATGCTACAAAAACATTCAAGTGCTTCTTTCTAACTCCTCTCAAAACCTAGTACTATAATTGTGGTCTAATTTTTTTTTTTTTTTAAGATTTTATTTATTTATTTGACAGAGAGAGACACAGCAAGAGAGGGAATACAAGCAGGGGGAGTGGGAGAGGGAGAAGCAGGCTTCCCGCTGAGCAGGGAGCCCGATGCGGGGCTCGATCCCAGGACCTGGAATCATGACCTGAGCCGAAGGCAGACGCCCAACGACTGAGCCACCCAGGCGCCCCAATTGTGGTCTAATTTTTAAAATATCAATTGTTTCAACAATTAAATGCTATCATGAAAGAGCAGCAGGCCTGGAGTAAGAGGACGATGGTTCTAGACTTGCCAACTTAAGGAGCTATGTACATTTCAACAACTTCCTCATTCCGTGTGAGTTTGTTTCTCCAACTATAAAATGACATGATTGGGGGCGCCTGAGTGGCTCAGTCGTTAAGCGTCTGCCTTCAGCTCAGGTCATGATCCCAGGGTCCTGGGATGGAGCCCTGCATCAGGCTCCCTGCTCAGAGGGAAGCCTGCTTCTCCCTCTCCCACTCCCCCTGCTTGTGTTCCCTCTCTCGCTTGTCTCTCTCTGTCAAATAAATAAAATCTTTAAAAAAAAAAAAAAAAAGACTAAAATGACATGGTTGGAAAAGATCATTTCTAGGTTATTTCTGACTCTAACATTCCTTAACACTAAGGAGATTCCAGAATCCCTTATTAATAATATTCCTCTGTAGAGGGGCACTTTCTTTCCTGCAGGACATAAAAAGTCTAGTAATATTCTGGCTAGGAATCCAGTCTGGTCTTTTCAGGGCTTTTCCAACATCCAAAGCTTCTTCAAGGTCCCTACCTTTACAACTTTATCTGCATTCCCCACAGTCCTACCACATCACACACTCAAATACTGACCATGCAGAGGGAAAAAATAAAGAGTTAATAGTTAATATAATATTTAGTATATAATGAATCCCAAGCACCATTCTACACAATTTATAAATATTATTATAATCCCCACAACAACCCTATAAGGTGCTGTTACTCTTTATTTTATAAATGAGGAAACTGAAATATAAGGATTAAGTAAACTGCCCAAGGCTGCACAGCTAATAGGCAAAGCTGGAATATCAATCCACCAAATCTACCTCCAGAGCCTAAATTCCTAACCACCTCAGTATCTCCTACCTCTCACAGAATAAGAAATAAAGGGAGAAGAGTCCCTTTACTTATTTAAGACACACATGCACTGAGCAACTTCAGCTTTCTTTAACCTCTCCCACACTTAGCTCATTCATCCTTTCACCCTCAACCCAACAAAGTGGGAAGGCTTTGGCAGCATTCACTCTTTCAATTAGCAAATATTCAGGGAGCAGGTAAGAAGGTGGTAGGTGTCCTATAAAAGCTTAAAAACTACTTGGGAAGGCCATATACAGCCTCACTAGTAATCAAAGAAATATAAAGTAAAATGATACTTACCCCCAAAGCAACAGGCAAAAATTAAAAGAAAATGATGATATCGAGTGTGGGTGAGGGTATAGGGAAATACTACTGGCAGAAGTTTTAATTGGCATGGACTATGTGGTTGGCAACTTGTGGTATCCATTAAATTTTTAAATTTAAAATGGTCATACCCTTCTACCTAGCAATTCACTTCCAGGTGTCTATCCTATACATCTGCCAAGTATATTTACTGCAGCAAAGTAAGAAAAATCCAAATGTCTATCAATAACTGAACTTGATACATCCATATTGGGAAAACTACGTAGCAATTAGAAAGATTGGGGTTCCTATATAAAGAAAGTCCTCCAAAACATACTATTAAGTGAAAAGAACAAGCTACAGAATATATACAGTGTGATTTCAACACCCACACACAATGTATTCTTAAGGTTTGTGCATCTCATTGTAAATTTTGCATCAGAAGGAAAAAGCTATAAACAAATACTGAACTCTAGATAAGGATAGCATGCTCAAGTACTTAGGTGAAAGTGTACTGATGTTTGAAATTTACTTTGAAACACATCGAGAAAATAGTTTGGATTAATAGATGGAGGAATGCATATATGACAAAGCAAGTACTATAAAAATGGTAATATAAAATCTAGTGTGTATATGGGTATTCAACTATAAAATTCTATCAACTTTGCTGTGTATTTGAAATTGTTCTTAATAAAATGTTGGGAGGAAAGGCTAACAAAACAAACCAGTTCATGAGTGGTACAATACTATAATAAGTACTAAAATTTGGTAAGGAGTAGAAATGTGTGTACTGGAAAAAACTCTACAGAGAAGGTAAGTGTTTGGTTTTATCTTGAAAATTAGGAATGAGGGCATAGGGGGTACACAGGATGAGATTAAAATATTACAGTAACTTTGGACTTACAGGTGATAACGAGCCATTTACAGTCTTTGCCAATTCATTTACTCCACAAATAATTCCCAAGAATCTACACATGCCAGACCCTGTGCTTTATGTGGGGGACCAGCACTGAATAGGACAGATTTCCTGCCCCACAACGAATCTTCCAAACATGACTGCTATAAGTCAATGTGCTCCTCCCAAGAGTCTTGTCAGATGGGCACACCCAGAACACTATTTAGAGGGAAAGTGATACTCAAAAGAAATTAAGTGACCTGTTCAAGGTCACATGGCAAGGAGCTAGACTCTTTCTCCTTGGAATGCATGACCAATCTGGAGTAGAAATACTGGACAGACAATAGTATCCTGCTTGCAGAGAGGTACAGTGAAATTCCAGACTATGAAGTAGTCGAATGCCAAATAATGGAGCCACAAGAGTCAGACACAGAGCTACTTTCAAGCCCTGCTTCAGCTGACATGATTTTCATCTGCTACTATGGTCTCCAACTGTTTCAGATTTGGAGCTTACCCTGTTACCAGAACTCTAGTCTATGAAGATAGAATTTCAACAAGAAAAAAGCACTTTGAAGGACAGAAACTAGTGAAGAAGGACTAATGTGAACAAACAATGGCAGCAGAACATTAAAAAGTCACCTGGCCATGTGTTATAATAAAAAGTGGGGATAGCTCCAAATCATCATGCGAAGAAATCATAATTCCCAAATAAAGCAAGCAGAGCAGGATAATTCTGATATTGCAGGGCAGTCTTCTGGAATAGGGTAGAACAACTGACAAGTCACTGTGTCACATTTCAGACAAATTTTAGAAGGGCTGAAGTAAAAGCTAACCCTTTCAGAACGATAAATATAAAAACCAATTTTCTAGTTCTACAACCCAAAATGTCTTTCATTAGAGTGAAAAGTTGGCCTCTTAGAAATTCAGACAGTTCTCCATGCTTATTAAAATCCAAATGGAAAATCCAACTTTAAAAAATCTATCTTTTCATTTAGATTATATTATACAAATCAGGGGCACCTGGGTGGCTCAGCAGGTTAAGCATCCGACTCTTGATCTCAGTTCAGGTCCTGATCTCAGGGTTGTGAGATCGAGCCCTGCTTTATTTATTTATAAAAATCAATAATAAATAACAAATTCATAAATTGGCTTAAATACAGATAACAGAATTAATTTAAGTCAAGATAAGCTCAAAGTAAGAGAGTGCATGGAACAAACTAAACTGCTCTATCTGGAGGCTTTTAAGTATACAACTTTCTTTTGGATATGCACTTAATTTATGGTTGACCCTTTATAGTGCCTCTTAATTTTGTACTGTTACCCTGAATTAGCCACATTTTTAAATTCCTTTATTTATGTAATTAAAAAAATCCTCTGAAATTATTCTCTTATAGGCAGTCAGCATCACATAAAATCATATTAAAATGTGTCCTGGTCAGTTTACATCAATAAATATTGTGGAAAAATGGAAAGTTTCTCTTCAAAAGCAAATAGATTTTTATCAAAGCATATAGTGAAATGTAATTAGGTACTTCAATCCAGTGCAATTGCCCACCATAGTCAACCTCAAAACCTGTCCAAAAATCCACTTTTGGAGGGGCACCTGGGTGGCACAGTCAGTTAAGCATCCAACTCTTGGTTTTAGCTCAGGTCCTGATCTCAGGGTTATGAGATCAAGCTCTCTGTGGGGTTCCGAGCTCAGCACAGAGTCTGCTTAAGACTCTCTCCCTCTCCCTCTGCCCCTCCCCCTGTGTGCACACACTCTCTCTCAAATAAATAAAAATGAATCTTAAAAAAAAAAAATCCACTTCTGGATTTAGATCTGCTAGAAAAGGAAAAGTATCCCAGAATAAATGAAAAAGGCAATCTATTTAGATTTTCCATTTTACAGAGACTAATAGCTCAACAAAATTAACAACCCATTCTTCTTAAAACACAAGATCTAATACCCAAGCCTCCCTGAATCAGTTTTATAGTCTTCTAATGAGGTGGGCCTCAACCAGAATAGTTTGCCACCCTCCCGGGCACATTTGTCAATGTCAGAAGCCATTTTCTGGTTGTCACAGTTAGGGGACAGGAGTGCAACTGGCATCTCATGAATTCCCAAACATCCTAAAATGCACAGGATAACCCCCCACAACAAAGAATTACTTGGCCAAAATATAATAGTGCCAGGTTGAGAAACCTGGATCTAATATAATGCTAACCCCATCTGGTACATACCTTTTGTGAGGTTTGGTGGGA